TGCGTAGAAAAAAGAGCTGCATACTGGAAATAGACCACCAATTAATTCAGTGATATTGTCTAAGTCATTTAGTTTCCTTCTGTTTCCTCTGTAGTAAAATGAAAAGACACCGTCCAATGCACCAGCCACTAGCCACATGTGATTACTGAGCACTTGAAATGTGGCTAATCCAAATGCAGAAGTGTTGTAAGTATAAAATACTCACCAGTACAAATACACACTTAGTACAAAAATAAAAGAATGTAAGACATCTCATTAATCACATTTTATGTTGATTACATACTGAAATATTTTTAATATATTGGGTTAACTAAAATTTGTTTAAAATACCTTTTCCTATTTTTCTTTTCAATGTGACGACCACTAGACAATTTTAAATAATATATGTGGCTTGCGTTATATCTTTACTGGACAGTGCTAAACTAGATCATGTCTTCCAGTCCTTAATCTTCTGATACCTACCTTAAGCTTTAGCAGTGCAGCCCTTCAAACCCAGAAAGCATCACACAGCATACACTTGAAGTATTTCCTTTCTTTCCTTCCGTTCCACGAGATAGCACTAGAGTTAAGGTTTCAAGCTAATAATTAATATATATTTTAAAATATTTAAATACATGCAGTTTTATAAATATGTTGTGCTTAGTTTCATCTCTATGCCCTTCCTCACACTGTTTGCTCTACTGGGAAACTTTTTCCTAACTTGATAGCCTATTCATTTTTTAAAATTCAGATCCTCTGGGAATTCCCTGGCAGTCCAGTGGTTGGGACTCGGCGCTTTCACTGCCGTGGGCCAGATTCAATCCCTGGTCAGGGAACTAAAATCCTTCAAGCCACGTGGTTCGGCCAAAATAAAAAGATTAAAAATTAAATAAAATAAAATTCAGATCCTCTAAGAAGCTTTCCCTTAACATTCATCTCCTGCCGTAAATAACTTTACGTAGCCACTGTCCTATACACAGTATTCTATAATAAAACCATGAAATATTGTTTACATGCATCCCCCCTTTCATCTTGTGTATGTTATCTGGGGTAGGTAGTGATGAGATCTTAGTCAATGCCTGGCACCCAGTAGGGGCTGTAAGCAATGTATCAGTCAGGATAGGCAAAGTTAGCAAAAAACCCTACGTCACAGTAGCTTAAGACTACAAAGGTTTTTTTCTCACATACACATGTTCATCAGGAACCAGTTGAGAGCTCTACTCCATGGCATCCTCACTCCAGGACCTACACTAATGGAACAGTTCCATTTGGAGCATTGCTGGTCACTGTGGCAGAAGGAAAGAGGGCTTTGGAGGTTTTCGAACCTGTGCTTAAATGCTCCAACCTGGAACTGACACAAGTCACTTCTACTCACAGCTTATTGGCTGGAACTAATTACATGGCCCCATCCAACCACAAGGATGTCAGGAAGTATGATTCTATCGTGTGCTTGGAAGACAAGGGCAGAAATATTTGGGGAACATTAATGAGGACTACTAATGATCCTGCTAGTCAGTATTATCTCCCAGCTCACTATTCCTCGGCAGGTGGAATATATTCACTGTATGTTCCCCCCCACCAAAGGAAACAACCCAAGAGTTCCCTATAGTCACAACGTCAAGTTCAAATTAAAGAATCTGAGTGATGCACAGTAGTTCCTATACCAGTTTCAGATGTGGCGTGAGCTAGAGAACTATAAACTAAAAAGACAAGCCATGTGCTACACACCTAATACACACTGGTGGAACAGGGACAGGATAAATGCAGTAGAGAGAGGGGACAAGTGGGAGACACAGCAGCCTAGTGATTGTGATGTTCCACTCTGCAGATGTGATGAAAGCCCCTTACCCTGAGGGAAGGGAATATTTCTTGACTAGCCCCCAATTCTTTTTGTTTGTTTGTTTGTTTTTTGCAGTACACAGGCCTCTCACTGTTGCGGCCTCTCCCGCTGCAGGGCACAGGCTCCGGACATGCAGGCTCAGCGGCCATGGTTCACGGGCCCAGCCGCTCCGTGGCATGTGGGATCCTCCCGTACCGGGGCACGAACCCGCATCAGCAGGCGGACTCCCAACCACTGCACCACCAGGGCAGCCCTAGCCCCCAATTCTTTTTCTTGGTAGGGCATCCTTAGGCAATTGTTCTGTTTGAAGCTGCGAAGATTTTAGGGTTGTTGCTGCAGCATAACCTAATTTGTCCTGACTGATATGGAGATTGGAATGTAGAGGGGGGTGTTGCATACTACAGAAAAACAAAAACAAAAACAAAAATCCCTAATATGTATGACAATAACATGTGGAGGGCGGCAAAGAAATCTTATTGGAGGCTGGACGGATGGCAACCCATGTCATATAGTAGCAAAGTATTTGGTAAAACTGTTGCCTGCAGTAACTTAGAAGTCATACTTTAATAATCTACCTAATAAACTAGGAGAAAGCATCAGAACACAGAATTTTAGCAGCAGACCATGAGAACTCAAAATTTTAGCAGTAGGAATTGTATACAATTGGTTGCATTGACAAAGCACTGCAGGATGAGTTCAGAAGAGAACTGGCCAGTTTACAAGTAGCCATAGGGATCCAGAGAGACCACGGAAATCACACTGGTTCACAGAAGCAACTGCTTCTCATCCCTAAGTGGGAATAGATAAAATGGAGAAATGTTTGGAGTGACAAAAGTCACTCATATGACAATTCAAACTCAGCTTTGTAGGGAGGGTGAGCAACCGTCCGAGTTTTAACACTGAAAGTCCTGCAACCCTGCCAGGCACAGGGACAGTTGCTTACCCTACTCATAAGAAAGATCAAAACAACGGTATGGCCATCATATCTTTGTCAAAACCTCTGAGTAGTTTAAATTGTTTTAGAGCCAAGACCTCATTAAGGCTGTGGCACCCAGGAAACCATTTCAATTAAGCTAAACTGCTTGGGGAAGAGACTTCAGGTGCAGCTGAAAAGAGGAGTTGGAAAAGATCTCCAACCGAAAAGATCAAAGTAATTGGGGAGGCATGAGAATGAGAAAAGACATCAAATTTAAGAAATATGTCTAGAAAAGGGCAGCTACTGTCACATGACACTGCCTGAAATCAGAGATAAAAAGCCAACTATAGGGCTTCCCTGGTGGCACAGTGGTTGAGAGTCCGCCTGCTGATGCAGGGGACACGGGTTCGTGCCCCGGTCCAGAAAGATCCCACATACCACGGAGCGGCTGGACCCGTGAGCAATGGCCACTGAGCCTGCGCGTCCGGAGCCTGTGCTCCACAACGGGAGTAGCCACAACAGTGAGAGGCCCGCGTACAAAAAAAAAAAAAAAAGCCAACTATATTTTTGAGAGTACTCTGTTACCAATACAAGGCACATAAGCCCAGCCAACCACAAAAGACCAGGGAGTACAATCTTATCACGTGCCCAGAAGGTGGGAAGCTGGAAATATTTGTAAACAGCTCTAACGACTACCATAGTGCAATAAAGGATGCCCAAACCACTGGTTTCTAGGGTAGTGGCACTTAAGCTTAAGAAAACTCAGGAAGTAAAAGTGACTTAGCAGAGGACACCATGCACCATTCTTACCCTTTGGCAAAAGTAAATCAAACTCACCGTAAACAAAATGATGTGGACACCAACACGAGTGTGTAAATTACCATAGGCAGAGGAGGGAATGTGCCTCAACATGGGGTGGGGATGGAGGAGGGGTGAATTGAAGGAAAAAAAAAAAAAGACCTCCAGTTTTATGGAAAGGCCAAGTTGCTAGGTCTGGGAGAGCAGAAACAATCATCTGTGAGGTCCACACATTTTACCAGCTGACCTGGAGAACAATCGAACTGAGTAGTCGGTCTGGTGGATAAGAACGTAGACAAAAAAGCCACGGCCTACTGGACTGGTAGACATCTTTTCTCCAGAGACTGAAGGTAAGGGGCTGGAAGAAATGATTTTTCTTTTTCTTCAGATATGGACAGAGTCAAGAGAGAACTATAATGGCCTTGGCCTAGGCTCAGAAAACTGGTTAATATAGGGCAGACCCAAGCACGCTGGCCTCCAAGTTCAGAGGTTTATTTACCTTGTATTTTTTTTGTTTGGTTTGGTTTTTTTGGTTTTTTTGGCCACACCATGAGGCATGTGGGACCTTAGTTCCCCGACCAGGGATCGAACCCATGATCCCTGCACTGGGAGCACAGAGCCTTAACCACTGGACCACCAGGGAAATCCCTACTTTATATTTTAAACAAAGCGTTTTATGTACTTTCCTGCTCCAAAGTTTTAAGATGTGAAAAGTCAGATCTGCGAATTAAGACCCTTCCCTACCACTAATTTCAAGGGCAGAAGTCAACAAGACACATTGTAGAAATATACATTCAACTTTATTTCATTAGAAAAATTTATTTAAGCCACACGGTGGCCAAAATGCCCATGTCCTGAGCAGGCGCTGTCATCCCACTGCCCTCTTCAGACCAATACACACACACACACACACACACACGCTATGTTGGAGGAGTGACTTAAAAATGTAAAACAATGAGAATGGGACATAGAATACTCCACCTTCCCCCTTCCTATAGCCAACCCACACACCTCTTCAACTGTTATCCGCACAGAGAGGAGCTCTCATGGAAGAGAAACTGAACACCAAATAAACTGACCATAAGACACCCAAGCCCAAAGGAACTCTTGGCAGATGCTTCGAAAGTAGGGTTGAAAATAACACGATCTCCCAACAGCTGAAGTTGCAGCACAAGTCCCCATCGAAGAGAAGACAGAGCCATTTTGCCAAGGACAGCAAAGCATACGGCGGACTGGGGAGAAGAGTGAGATCACTCCATTCCACAGCCACAGGCGACCCACTCATATCTGTGTATTAAATAGGCTTTTTCCAGAGCAACGAGTATGCAGGTAGAGAGGCCCTTCAAGGGCCTAGTAACAGTTAGTTCTCTGATAACACTGATGCTGAGCTTGCCTACCCAGGAACTGATACAGCTGGACGTATTTAGGCCAGTGTTCCAAGGTTACAGCCGGTGGAGGGAGGTCTTATCACACCCCTCTGGATGGATGGTCTGGAAGGCTCTTGGGGACTCTGTGTTGGCTAGCTGACCTCTGGTGGTCCAGGAGCTCCCAGGAGATGGGCTCTCCAGTAAGACCCCCAGGGACTCCATCAGTCTAACGAAGATGGAGAGCAGGGTCAACACCACACCTAAGAGATAGACGCTCAACATATGCCTCATGGCTCAAAGGATTCCACTCCTTTGTAGAGCAGTAGAGCTGCCTTCTGCTTCTGGAAGGCCTCTGGATCCTGAGGAAAGAGAGCGAGGTTAATCTCCAGCCTTTTGGGATACGCCTGCCTCTGACCTTGACCCTGGAGCTAAGCAGGAGGCTCAGCCAGCCAGGGGGACAAGGTCCACAGCAGAATCTCCAAGTATATTTACACTGTAAACTCCATGGCTGGGGAACTAGTCTAGCCTCTCGGACTAATTCAAGAGCATTCCTTAAAACTTTTACTTCCCTTAAAGTAAAAAACTTTCACTTCTCCTGTCGGGTATGCACAATCCCTGTTCCACAGTCCACGGACCAGAAACCTTCCTGAAGTAAGGTTTTGGTGAGGGTGGGCGGAGGTGGGAATATAAGAAGACGCCCTTGAGAAAGCAAAAGCAACCTGCCTTGAAGTCTCCTTCACACCTCAGTCAGGTTCGAGTTAACCATAAACTTTTTTTTTTTTTTTTTTTTTTTTTGGGTTGCG